CTTCGTTTATGGTAATTGAATTTACCTGCTTGCTTTATCGGCAAACCTACCATAAATATGATTTGGAAGTAACATTTTAATTGCAGAGGCAAGTTTGGCTTGCCTTGTGAACTTTACCCCTTCTCTGGTTTCAACTGGTGCTCGTGGCAGTTTGGCGTAGTTGTGGCATGTAGAAAATATACACAGCAAGGCCTGAGTTCGAGTTCCAGTAGGGGTGTGGATGAGACTCAGGTGAGGGCAAAACTTCAGTCCAACCTTTTCGGAAGCAAGACTATATGAAATCCATCACCTTATGTGACATTAGGCAACTAAATGTCTCAAACAACATCTTTATGTTGGTTATCAGTTCGGGTTATTAACAGCATATATTTTATAATGAAAGGCATACCTAATAAATGCGAAGAAAAGTTGGGTTTCGAGGAATCTCTTGTTTCATAATTGTTGAGCTTATTTCCATTTCGAGTGAAAGTGTTGGAAATAATATTTTGATATAGACTGAAGAATGAATTTTTTATTCGGTCACTAAATAATTGGGAATTTAGAATTAGTAAGTTACTTATTGTCTTGTGCAATTCAGTGCTTGCTTATCAGGACTAAAGGAAATCACACATCCACTGGTAGAATAAGGACAGTAGAAGATAAGCAACAGTCTGCTAGGATAGCCCACAAAGTCGCATCTAGATTCACGTATCCTCCAGATTCACCAGAGCAAGAACATGATAAAATATCTCTGTAGGAATTAGGATCTGATGCAACTATCAACTTGAGTCTTCATAAATAATTCCTTTTTTTCCTATGAGCTCTTCCATGGCATGGCTCAGCCCTTTGTCTAGATTCAAGAGTGGCTAATAAAGTTTTCTATCGAAATTAAGTAATAAACTTTACTATTGCAATAAATGATTTAAAAAAATTAACTAACTGAAAGTAAAGGAACACTTTTGGTCGATTTTCGGTTTGAGTATTGAACTCTAAGATACTTACGATGATATAACTCTATTTTTTCTTTTGATTTCACTATACCGACAGTATCCTCAACCCAAAGCAAGTCGAACCTAGGAAGTCTGGATCAATATGTATGTGCAAAACTCTTTCTTGTGCCATCCAAACTTACAGTTACTCTATCAATGACCACTTACCGGACTGATACCGACGTGTTGGGAAGCGAAATGCGTCTGCCAGTCTTGCAGGCTATTCAACTCAGAGCCACATATGCAGCAGTTCATTCTCCACTCGACAAAAAATTCACGCTGTAGACAAGGTGCAATTAGAGATGCAATACTTGCTGCACTCGGAGCAGCAGTATTCGCAATCGCCCCGGGAATTGGTTGGATGAGCGATGGACCCAAGAAGGTTGGAAACCTGGGCATCAATTGGGGCAATGAGTTATTCTGAGGGATTGTGATACCCGAACCTTGTCTGTTTGGCATCGGAGTATTCGCCAGTACTGTACAAGGGAAATTTATTTATGCACTTAGGCTGTATTTTATTATAGAAAATAAAAAAGATGTTCTTAAAAAATCTAGAGATAATTGAGACTTTTCACAGCTGAGAAGTGAACAGCACTGTTGTCAGTCTGATGTACTGTGTCATTACAGATTTCAGTTCGTATGAAAAATTAAACGGGTGGAGAATAGCCTTAGTCTACCTGTTTACAAATCGAATCTCAATGGTGGCGCTGATGAACTCGTCAATAATGAATAATAACGGTTTTTTGTAATACCTGGCAAAAGTTAAAACTTTTCCTCATCGGTACAATACGAGACACTAGCAATTCTAATGAAGAATCTCAGCAGAATAAAAGTGCAATATTCTAGTATGTGCCAGATTAGAATTAATAAGTTGCTATTTACTTAATATTTATCCTGGCGTTTTTTCAAATTTACTCATTGATGTTTTCAATAGGCGATCCTGCACACTGTAATCAATTATAATATTTTTTCAGCTCCAATTGATTACTGTTGCTTTATGTTTTCTATTCATAATTCTATTTCTCTATATTT